CCAGAACGTACAGTAGTGTGACTTAAAGAGAGATGCGCTGTTGTTTATGTGTGTTTTCATCCATTCAGAAAAATGCTGCTCTCTCTCTCTCTCTCTCTGTCTATATGTCTCTCGCTCCTGTATGCGGTCACATGAATAGGGTGCACTGGGTTGATTATGTAAGACCGTGTTAGAGACATCCGTCTTGTCCTCATGCAACATCTGTGAAAGCTGTGAATGAGGACATGCGATAGAGATGAGAGCTGGACGAGGACTATACTTTTCAAACTCATGTATTTTGCAGGGTGTTTTAGATCGGAGGTAGAAGGTAGAAGTTCAGAAAAAACTGGTGTAAAAATAAATGTTATTATTAATAATTAATATTATTATTACATTTTACAATTTATTTAATAGAATAATTATCATTGTTGTTATTGAAAATAAATTATTTAAATTATTTAAAATAACTGCTCTCTCTCTCTCTCTCTCTCTCTCTCTATATATATATATAGACACACATATATGTGTAGGGGTGAAATATATTTTTATATATGAAATTTGGCAAATTTGTACATTTATTATAATTGTAATTCATATTATTCATATTTTAATAGACACTAATACATAGTAAATATATAGTATTTATTTTTTAATAATGATAATAATAATAATTAATATATACTATTATATTACTATATATGAATATTAAATGATAAATCTGATAAACATATTGTCTATTATTAAAATTATTAAAAATAACAAGTACTATATATACACATATGTGTGCGGGGTGAAATATATTTTTATATATGAAATTTGGCAAATTTGTACATTTATTATAATTGTAATTCATATTATATTTTAATAGACACTAATACATAGTAAATATATATTATTTATTTTTTTATAATAATAATAACGATAATAATAATTATTATTATTATTAATATATACTATTATATGAATATTAAAGGATAATTCTAATAAACATATTGTCTATTATTAAAATTCTTAAAAATAAAAAGTACTATATATACATATATGTGTGTGCGGGGTGAAATATATTTTTATATATGAAAGTTGGCAAATAATTTATAATTGTAATTCATATTATATTTTAATAGACCCTAATAAATAGTAAACATATAATATTTATTTTTAATAATGATAATAATAATTATTATTATTATTAATAAATAATTAATTAATAATAATTATTATTATATCACTATATATTAATTATATTAAATTATAATTCTAATAAATATGTTTTCTATTTATTATATTATTTTAATATATATAATTTTTTCTAGATGGCCAAATACTATGTTCATAGCACCTTTTAGAAATATTTTATATGCTCAACTGTGACGATCATGCAGATAAAAAGGTTAATAAAGCATAATACATAACACAATTTGTTTTTGTTGTAAAAGCTGAATATATGGTACATTAGAACACATGATTGAACTTGAGCATAAACGGCAGTATTACGTGTTGAACTGGAAAACATAGGCTATAAATAGTGTTGTTTCCTTTATCGTTTTATTGTTATTCATTTATGCAATGCATTTCCTGATCTCCCAAATATAGAAAAAAAAAATTGGCCATTGACTTGCAGTGTTGTTCCACTCCTTCACATTAACGTAATAACACACTGTAGATGAATACATTAGCAGTGGATCATTGTCAAACAGACGGCACACCAGAGGCAGGACCATTGATTAATGAAATCACCATATATGGTGTGTTTCAATTCTGTGCCAGTTTGATTGGGAATTGACTTTACCTGAGGAGGTTATTTTTAGGGCTCTCACATGCTTCCACGTCAATGAGTGGGGGCTATTTTTAGCTTTGCATTCCTGCATCACATTGACCTTGAAGAACACGGCTCATTCAGAGCTTTGCTGCCTCTGTGTCTCAGGAGGTCTTACCCACTCCACAAAACCTGAATCTGTCACTGACATGGACAGATTGACCGCACTCAGACTGGCTTAGAGGAGGAAGAAATCTCAAATGCATTTCTCTCATTCACTGTCACCATGACAGACTTACTAGATCTGTGTGTGTGGAATGAGGTCGAATGCTTTTCTGCCGGTGTTGTTGTATACCGTGGCATTTAAAGGGATACTCCACCTAAAATGTAAAATTCTGTTATTATTTACTCACCCTTTGTTCTGTGGAACACAAAAGAAGACATTTGAAGAATGCTGGTAACCAAACAGTTTTGGTTCCCATTGACTTCCTTTATATGGTAAATAAATAAATACTACCAATATTACCAACATTCTTCAAAATATTTATCTTTTGTAGCACAGAAGAATCAGTCATACAGGTTTGGAATGATATGAGAGTGAATAAATGATGAAAGAAATTGCATTTATCCAAAATATTGGATTAAACACATGGAATTTAAATTATTATTTTTTAAATAAAAGGTTACAAATATTTTATTAATATTAATATTATTTTTTAAAAATGTTTGAAAACTGATGTAAAATAACTGAAAATAATAAATATTCTGCTTGATTTCTAGGTCTCTATACTCAAATAAGTATATTTATGACATTGTCATGTGACTTTTAACACAAACAGTCAGATGTTTTTAGGATTTATATCATCAGTGAGCATTAATAATATACGCATGTTATAGCCGATAACCAATGAATAGCCAGTATTAAAAAACTACACTACTTTGTTTAAAAACAATACAACACAAGTATGAAGTCAAAAATAATTTAAAGGTATAGTTCACCCAAAAATGAAAATTCTGTCATTAATTACTCACCCTCATGTCGTTCCAAACTCATAAAACCTTCGTTCATCTTCGGAACACAAATTAAGATATTTTTGATGGAATCTGAGAGCTCTCTGACCCTCCATAGACAGCAACACAACTGAAATGTTCCCAGGTCCAGAAACGTAGCAAGGACTTCGATAAAATATGTGTCTATGTGACATCAGGGGGTTCAACCGTAATTTTACGAAGCTACGAGAAAAATTACGACTTTATAACGACTTTATTCAACAATTCTTCTCCTCCTCATCCCATCTCATCCCATCCCATTGTTGAATAATGTCGTTATTTTTGTTTTGTTTTTTGCGCACAAAAAGTATTCTCGTAGGTTCGTATAATTTTGGTTAAACCCCCGATGTCACATGGACGACCATTTTACCGATGTCCTTACTACGTTTTTGGACCTGTGAATATTTCAGTTGGGTTGCTGTCTGTGGAGGGTCTGAGAGCTCTCTGATTCCATCAAAAATATCTTAATTTGTGTTCCAAAGGTAAATAAAGGTCTTATGCTGGTGATACACTGGGCAACTTTTTGAGCAATTTTGCCTGGCACCTTTTTTTGAGAAATGCTGCTTGGGCACTTTCCCACTGAGAATGGGTAACAAAATTCTATCTGGATACTTTAGATCGATCGTGGGCCCTGTGTCTCACCTGGTTGTCCGGCAACATTGCTCAAAAAGTTGCCCCATGTATCATCAGCCTTACGGGTTTGGAACGACATGAGGGTGAGTAATTAATGACAGAATTTTCATTTTTGGGTGAACTATACCTTTAAATTATTTTTGACTTCATACATTTTTGTGTTGTATTTTTTATTTTTTTTAAACAAAGTAGTGTAGTTTTTTTAATACTGGCTATTCATTGGTTATCGGCTATAACATGCGTATATTTTAGCTTATCAGTATCATCCAGAATTTTTAGACTGGTGTATTTCTGTTGGATAACATGAGCGTCGGGTTTTATACTAATTTGTTGAGTTCATGCAGTTTGAGTGCACATAACTTGTTATGCCGATATATTAGAATGTAATGTAAAATATATATATATATATGTGTGTGTATATATATATATATGTATATGTATATATATGTTCACTAGTGGTCTCATACTTTTCAGAATTTTCATTTTTGGGTGAACTATACCTTTAAATTATTTTTGACTTCATACTTGTGTTGTATTGTTTTTAAACAAAGTAGTGTAGTTTTTTAATACTGGCTATTCATTGGTTATCGGCTATAACATGCGTATATTTTAGCTTATCAGTATCATCCAGAATTTTTAGACTGGTGTATTTCTGTTGGATAACATGAGCATCGGGTTTTATACTAATTTGTTGAGTTCATGCAGTTTGAGTGCACATAACTTGTTATGCCGATATATTAGAATGTAATGTAAAATATATATATATATGTGTGTGTGTATATATATATGTACATGTTGAAAATTCAGCTTTGCATCACAGGAATAAATTACATTTTTAAAATTATTAAGACGGAAAACTGTTATTTTATATTGTAATAATATTTCACATTATAATAGTTCTTACTGTGCTTTTGATCAAACAAATGCAGCCTCGCTGAGCATTAAGAGACAAAAAAAAACGTCCTACCGACCCCAAATTTTTTAATGGTCACCAGGGGGGAAAAAAAAGAGTTTTCATGGGCATGTTGTTTGAGTCACTGCAAGCGTCACGTGTTACAAGCTGCACAAGTGTGTTCTTGAGCTACAGTGTTTTTGTGGCTGGAAGAGTTCGGTTAATTAGGACTATAAGCGTTTGCCTCATAACAGATGTGGCTTACTCCAGCTGGTTGATTATGTCTGAAACACGGTTCTCCCAAGACACACTTTTTTAATAGTGTATTACATCAAATCATATTGCTCAGTCATTTTGGAAAATCCAAGGCGCGAGTTAAAAACTCCTTATTATTACCACTTCCAGCTGTTCTTTCCATCTGAGCACGCTTGCATGTCAGCTCTGGTTTGCCGGGATTTCAAGTCGGAAAAAAAGGCACCACATTCTTGTTTTTTTCTGCAGTTTATTTTTCCAGCCTGCGTCAAAGCTAGTCGCTCAAATAGAAACACCTTAAAGCTGGTTTACACCACCCCAATAAACGACATCAACAGGGTGAACGCAACCACCTACAACTGCTGTTTGTTGGGTTGACGTGAACTAGTGTGCTTAATCGCAGGTCACCAACTCTTGCTTGTCTTTTCAAAGGGAAGAGAGTTTGAAGCACTGGGAAGTCAACTGGCTAAATCGGTGAGAAGATATAGAACAATATTGACCTGCCCTTAAAAGGGCTGTCCCCCATTACAGAATCCAGGCGGGTTCTCTCCCCTAGACCAGTCTAACCTCAGAGCTTCCCCTGTTTACTCTTCGCCACCATAAGCATTACGCATGCCACCAAAGAGGCTTTGGAATATATGAATAAAGATGCAATTCCCAGCGTGTTCCCTAGTTCGGCTTCTCTCCCGCTGCTCCTAAAATACATGTGCATGACACACCCTATACGAGCCCATCAGTGTTCTTATTACGTGTTTCCATAAGCTTTTAATGTAGGATATCTAATATCCCATTGGAGAATCTGAGGTACCTTCCTTATGCTGAGCTGTATTTCTTTATTTCCATCCAAACTGCATGTTAATCAAAAGCGTATTACCGCCCGCTTGCTCTTTTGAATGATGGTGTGCTGTAACCTGAAGCCGACCACATCCTTAAGTCTCCACACTTAAACTCTTAGTCATTCTTTTTCACTGATCCTTAAGTAATTTTATGTGCCTCCTTTTATTATTGGGAGATTAAAGAGCTGTCTTTTCCAATATGTAATTTTTGTGTTTGATTTGTGATTTGTTAATGTGTTTTTCTCTTACAGACATGGAGAAGACATGATAGTTACACCATTTGCACAGGTTAGTATTAGAGTGGGCCTTGAAAATGAAAGCTTACGTGGTTGATCTGACATTAATGGGCATTTATGGACTTTGCGTCATGTGGTTTCTCTGTTGAGGAACATGGTAGTTTGACTTTGCTCTCCCTATATTTTAAAGAGAGATTAATCTGCTAATATTTAGAAGTGTCTTTTTTTGTGTAAGTGGAGTGTGCTGCCTTTGGCATTGGCGGGAACAGCCCTTCCACTCTTATGCAGCTTGCTTTACGTGGGATTTGCGTCACCACTGTACTCGGTTTACAAAATAGGCTAGTAATCCAATACTGCGTTTGTCGATATGGATGCTGACAGATGAGAAATCTGCATGGCTTTGGAAATCAGATACCCTTCATGTCCTTTTGAAACTCCAAAAGAGCTTCAGAATTTCAGACAAGCCAGACAAATCTTTATTTTTCTAGGTCACCTCTCTATGTAACATTTATTCTCTCTCGCTCACTGCAAAAATCATTTTATTAACCTGTGTTCTATCTTGTTTTGCAAAATGGGATAATATGGTAAGAATTGTTTCTTGCCGTTTACTGTAAGACATAATTGTGTGAAATTTAGGTTTAAAACTCTTCAGAAGATTTATATATATATATAATTAATTGTTTTTCATATAAATACACTTTTATTATACAGTATAATATATATATATATATATATATATATATATAATTGTTTACTAAATATTCTATATTTAATTCTATAAAACAATAACAATTCTAAAAAACATAATAGGGTAAGACTACATACTTAAAAAAGTGCTCTGAAAACATCTTACACAGTTTTGCTTTATCTTAATCTTTTTTTAACGGTTTTGATATTTTGCTGGACAATAATAATTCAATCAAAAACACTGATTTCTGAAGAATTTTTGCAATACTAAAGTATTAAGCTGTAAGTGAGTTGAAGTTGCTTCAAAAAGAAAGAAAAGACGATGTGTTCTTGGCACGGACCTACATTATTTTTCTTCTCATAGGTCCTTGCCAGCTTGAGGACTGTGCGGAGCAACTTTGCTGTTTTGACCCATCAGCAAGACCGTGTCCCTAGCAAGTAAGGCCCAATAAACAGTCTGTTCAAATGCTTTTAAAGTCATGCTTGATCTCCACTGACACAAATCTCCACAGGAGGTCCACTGGAAGCAACCCACCATCCATGTGCAAGACAAGCCTCCTAGGTTAGACAACAAACTCTTGTAGAAAAGGATAACAGTGAATTTTTAATACATATGATGATGAACACATTTCTGTAGTCATGAATATAACAATGCTGTGCTGTATTTTGCAGAGGAGCCGTTTCAGAAGTTGGCAGTGGAGACTCTGGATGAGCTGGACTGGTGTCTCGAACAGCTCGATACTCTCAAGACACGTCACTCAGTCAGTGAGATGGCATCTAACAAGGTAGATCTTCCAAAATAAAAGATGATTCATTACTGACAGGCCTCAAATATCCCGACTGTCACCCAGGGACTTGCCCTAAGCGCTAATAACCAATAACACAATACATCAACGCTTGCTGATAACAGCACCCAAATACTCTACATGCCTCCGTATGAATTACACATGCGTCAGATGTCTATTTTAGATGGGAATAGAATTCATGCATGTTCTGAATCGCTCCCATCCCCCGTCCGCATCGTGTGCTGAAAAATGTGAATGAGAGAGTGGAGTCATGGATGAATCTGCTTCCCCCACCCCGTCTATATCCCCTCATTCCTGCTGGGGATTTCATAGACTGTGACGTGTGATTATCCCACCCACACAGCGACCACGTGCATCACGGATACATACTCTCACACACATGCGCACATATGAACACATGGTCAAGTGTTTTCATTCTGGCTAACATCACTGACGTATCTGCTGTACGTTCAGGAATCACCCTGCACTGGTTGAGGCGAAAAATATAAAAACTGAGCATGCAAAAACCTTTTAGAGTATTGCCGTTAAAATAAAAGTACTGCATTTTATTGACATTAATTTTTTTTGTCGTCAAATTTGCAGTGCCATATTTTCATACAAGTTCGGGTAAGATGGGACAGTTTTTGAAACAAGCTAAATAGCTACAGAGACGACTTTAGTATACAGATGATGATGATGCATCATCCAGTATATTATCAAATGAAAATAAATGGAAACATTTGCTAATTTAGTTTTGAAAGCACATTGAAAATCATAAAATGAGCAAGATGATACCAGGGGCAAGAAAAAGATTTATGCTAATTTTGTCAAACATATATATTTTTTATTATTTTTTAAGTTGTCATTAATGTAAAATAATCAAATGTTCTATGTACATTTTGTCCTGATAAGTTAATGTTATGTTAAATAATTAGGATAATTGAAATGTACTTCCATTCAAATGTTTGCTGTCAGTTAGATTTCCTAATGTTTTTGAAAGAAGTCTCTTATGCTAACCAAGGCTGCATTTGTTTGATTAAAAATGCAGTACATAAAGGTAAAATCATGAAATATTATTAATTTAAAGTAACTGTTTTCTATTTTAATATATTTTAAAATGGAATTAATTCCTGTGACAACAGCAGAATTTTCAGCAGCCATTACTCCAGTCGTCAGTGTCACATGATCCTTCAGAAATCATTCTAATGAACAATTTGATTTGGTGCTCAAGAAACATTTCTTATTGTTAACAATGTTGAAAACAGTCCTGCTGTTTAATACAAAAACATGATACTAGAACAATGTTTTTTAACATACAAATCTAAAACAAATTGATATGGATCAAAATGATGCATCATATATGATGCATTAGTGTGATATAAAACATTCAGAATATATAAAAATGCCTCACACTTGCTTGTTTTCCCTGCTCTGTGTCAGAGTGAGCATCTGTTTATTTCCCTCGCTCATTACAATGGAAAACACATCCACACACATGCGCGCAAAGCATGAAGCGGCTCCTGAAGCTTTCATCTTCAAACCAAGTGCACATGGTGCAGCCCCAGCCCCCTGTATCCACCCCATCCAGCCCCTGCATGTGCCCTGGAGCCGCGAGCCAATCGCACGCCTCCCCCTGACCCAGCCTCTATGACAAAACCCGTACGATTGGCCGGCATGCGGCAGCAAGTGGGGAGCTACCTGCCGGGAGGGAGAGAGAGAGGGGGCTGCTGGGAGGAGCCTGATCTCTCTGTTTACACATGAATCAGGCAGAGTAGGAGAGCAGAGCATGCGGCAGCGATGCAGAGTCGCTCCAGCCAGCGGCACACGCTCTCAGCCTGCCACAGGTGCAGCCCATGGCAGCTGGAACTCCCGGTGCTGGGCTGAGCTCTGCAGTGCCGCCACATTCTGTTTGGACCGCTGGACTGCTGTTGAAGCGGGCAGCTCGGGCGATCTGGAACGTGTCTGTAGCATGTGCACCGGCCAGACGGAGCTTCTGTTTTGTTAAAGCTTCATTTGGTGCTGAGATGCCAGACGTCAGTTACTTGCTCTCTGTGTCGTGGATGTATGTTCAGGTAAGGCTCGTGCTGTGATTCTGCTCTTGGGAGAAGCTCTTGCATTGTTTTTATCTGAAGTTGAGAGGGATGCTCTCCTTGACACTCTATAAATCACAGATGGTGCAGGGTGTTGCGCTGTGAAGATGTCAGTTTGGGTGTGTTGGGGTGTTTCTGATGTCAGTGTGTGTGTGTGTGTGTGGCTTCTACAGTACTACTGTACATTTTGCTGCCTCAGTCAGAAGTGTTTCATTCTGAAACCTCGTGTATGATTATTACATAATAGCACTACACAGATGAAAGGCACTCCTCCTGCTTGGTCCAGTCCCTCATCTTGGGTGACTGTGGCAGCTGAATGAAGGCCTGTTGCCACTCTTTAATGCAGTTATATTCAGATACGAGTATGTCATGTGATGTTTTGCATTTGTAGAATAAAAATGTTTTGATTTTAAAAGATTCAGTTAGGTGTTGTATGGAAAGGCTCTAATTAAAATGAAATACAGTGGATTGGAGATGGTGATTCTCAAAGCGCATGTGTTTTGTTCTTGTGTCCTCTTCTGCAGTTCAAAAGGATGCTGAATCGAGAACTAACCCAGCTGTCAGAGACTAGCAAGTCAGGAAACCAGGTCTCAGAGTTCATCTCCAGCACCTTCTTAGGTAAAACCAACTATTTTGTACTTTCTCTAATTTAATACAAATGTTTTCATTTCAAATTACATTATTAGAACAACACAAAATATTATTTATGAAAAAAAAAATCTAAATTATTAGTGTTATTTTAGTATTATTTATATATTATAATTTATTATGCATATTGTATTATAATATAATAATAATATTATTATTATATATAAGTATTTATTAATATTTTGAATCAGCTTGCATTTTTATATTTTCAGTTTTTAGTCATTTTCAATTATTTTAAATTTAGATTTTATGGGCTTTTGTCGTTTGTGTTTTTTATTTTTATATTTAATGTAATATTTTTATTTATTTATTTATTTACATTTTTTGTTAACTACTTAGCTTTAATTTATTTTAGTTTTAGTAATTTTACTACTTCAGCTTATTTCAGTTAGTTGCTAAGGCATTTCTAATTTTTCCCATATAATTGTGTATTTGTATTTTATTTAATTTCAGCTATATTTTGCTCAAACTGGCAGGACATCATCACTGTTAAAAATTTACAAAATAACATTTGTTTGTTTTGAATACTAAAACTTTCCATTTATTTCCAAGTTTAAACTGCATTTTTTCCCGCCAGGTTTTCAATGTGCATTTAATGAGCTGTCTGTCATTGCATGTAGTTATAAAAATGAACTTGTGTTGCAGAGAAGCAACATGATATGGAGATTATGTCCCCCCCAACCAAGGAGAAGGAAAAGAAAAAGCGTCCCATGTCTCAGATCAGTGGAGTGAAGAAACCCACACACAGCTCCAGTGTCGCAGCTTCCAGCATCCCACGCTTTGGCATCAGCACTGACCAGGAAGATCTGCTGGCCAAGGTGAGCTCTCACGGCCAGTAAAACACCCTATCAGCAAACTAAAATCACCATGGTGAACATGGACCTTATCTGCAGTAATTATAACAAAGTCCAATGCTGTTTTAAACTGCATCCAACTCCCTTTTGTAGGAGTTAGAGGACTTTGACAAATGGGGTGTGGATATTTTCAAGATATCCGAGTATTCTGGCAACCGACCCCTAACGGTAGCGATGTACACAATCTTTCAGGTATAAAATGTGGAATTAAAAAACTTTTCTCATGTAGTTTAGCTCAAAGCATTACAATAACAAATGTCTTGAACCTCTATTCCACAGGAAAGAGACCTGTTGAAATCCTTCAAAATCCCTGTAGACACATTTATTACCTACTTGATGGCATTGGAGGAGAACTACCACTCAGATGTAGCGTACCATAATAGCATCCACGCAGCTGACGTGGTCCAGTCCACCAATGTCCTGCTGTCCACCCCTGCCCTGGAGGTTTGTCTCAGTCAACTCCCTTTTTCATCATCTGCTCATTAGTCTCTGAAGCAAGATGTTTCATATTTGCAATTCTGTTTTGCTAGGCTGTATTCACCGACCTTGAGATCTTGGCAGCAATGTTTGCCAGTGCAATACATGACGTGGACCACCCTGGAGTGTCCAACCAGTTCCTCATCAACACGAGTGAGTGGCCACGGCAGAGCAACAGCAGCTTGTCATTGTGGTTGCACACTGTGTTGTTGACTAAGAACGTAATACTTTTCTCCAGACTCGGAGTTGGCTCTCATGTACAACGATTCCTCTGTTCTGGAGAACCACCACCTGGCTGTTGGCTTCAAACTGCTGCAGGAAGAAAACTGTGACATTTTCCAGAACCTGACCAAGAAACAGCGGCAGTCGCTGCGCAAAATGGTCATTGACATGGTGAGGAAATGGAGGCAATGACGAATCTGTGAGGCAATGATGAAGAGCTCCAAGTCTGAGAACCGCAAGCAACACGTGGTTTTATTTATTTACCGTGTATTTGACTCTTTGCAGGTCCTAGCCACTGATATGTCAAAGCATATGAACCTGTTAGCAGATCTCAAGACCATGGTAGAGACCAAGAAGGTGACAAGTCTGGGCGTGCTGCTGTTAGACAACTACTCTGATCGCATTCAGGTATTCTTTGAGCTTCTGTGGAGCAAAGCCATTTTATATTGTTGGAAATCTTTTTTGCTTCATAAGTAAAAAGTTTATAGTTAAAAATGGGTGGTTAATCAAATGCGTAGGTTCTTCAGAACATGGTGCATTGTGCTGACCTGAGCAACCCAACAAAGCCCCTGGAGCTGTACCGTCAGTGGACAGATCGCATCATGGTGGAGTTTTTTACTCAGGGGGACCGAGAGAGAGATAAGGGTATGGAGATCAGCCCCATGTGTGACAAACACAATGCTTCCATTGAGAAATCACAGGTGAGTGAGGGAAAATGCTAAATAATATGCCGCAAACTGGCCTTGAGGACTTTGGGCCTCATTCCATCATTTAGAATATAGTTTTATAATATAATATAATATACTAAACCAGTGTTGAAATGAACAAAAGCCAAAACTTAATTAAATTAAAGCTGAAATATTAAATGAAAAAAAGTTAAACTTAAAAAATATAAACGTCAATTAGAAAAGTTGGCAACTAAAGTACTAACGTTATTTAAATTGTATATAATTATATATATATATTATTTCAAATTAAAACTGAAATAACAATACTTTCAAGCAAATGTTAAAAAATAAAACTAAATAAAATGACAAAAGCATAACAAAATTCCTAAATCTAAAACTTAAATAAAAAAGATCATTCTAAACAATAATACATATAATAGTATATCATTAATACTAAAATAACAACACAAATAGAGAAATATTATATAGTGATAAAACACATTTTACAAAAGTGTATGTATATACTGTGTGTATATATACTGTATATATATATATATACTAATCTTTCTATATTAATAATTTCTATTTCTAATAATTTCTAATAATCATCATTATATACAGATGAAATTGGATATGAAATTATAGATATTGATATTATATAAGAATGTAAAATTTGTATTATAAAAATACAATAATTATATTATTATTATATAAAATACAACAACAATAATACTAATTTATCATTATGTAATAATTTTTAAGACATATATGTATATATATATATGCACAGACATACTATTTATTTTAACTATATTAACAGGCTTACATAAGTAACATTTGTACACAATTATTAGTGTTTAAATCCACTGTTGTAGAATGACAATACAAATTCATATTAACTGCTCATTCCCCGTCCATTAGGTTGGCTTTATTGACTACATCGTGCACCCGCTATGGGAGACCTGGGCGGATCTGGTTCATCCTGATGCCCAGGAGATTCTCGACACACTGGAGGACAACCGTGAGTGGTACCAGAGCTTGATCCCCCACAGTCCCACCTCCACCCCTGAGGACAAGGGCGGTGTGGTCGGGATGGGAGCGATAGGTGGAGGCATCACCTCAGCGGGGGAGAAATTCCAGTTTGAACTGACCTTAGAGGAGGAAGGGGAGTCTGACATCGAGAGTCCCGTGGACGAAGAGTTCACTTCCACCACACAGGATTCCTCCAGGACAGATCCAGAAGGCAAACATCCGTCTTCGGCTTCCCACTCACAGCAAGCCAACCTGACCGCTCGCTCCCCCGGCTGCAGGACAATGTCTTTTAAGATGGCCGAGCCACCAGACAGTGAAGATGAAGATAGAGAACTTGACCAAGAAGGGAAAAGCGTGTCTTGCCTGCGTCTGGGAACATAACAACTAGGGCACTTTTTCATTGCATTCTTTTTTCTTCTTTCGTGCCTCTTCCTCACCACCTCCCTATCCCTCTCCATCCCATTCTTAGCTTCCTCGGGTGGAGGCGACGCAGTGCAGGAGAGCAAAAGAGAGGTAGGAAAGCTTCCACAGGACGTTTTTATACAGTAGTCACCTTGCACTGGAGAAGGCTCCTGCTCTACGGACTGTCAAAGCGTGAAGCTTTCTTAAAAAGTTCTCGGACTCGTGACTTCTGGATGCCATTCGGCTTCACAGTCAAGCGTAAAACTGCCTGTGTGTGATGGACTGAGAGGAACTGTCCTCAAGTGTCTTCCTGTGACATCCCAGGGTTTAAAGTTAACGAACCAGTGGAGCCGTCCGAACATATTGATCGATAAACAGGACACTTTTTATGTGAGACGTATGTGCACTAAAATGTTTTTAAAAAGATACACTGTTGACTTAAAGCTGGTCTAATAATAGCTGAACAGAACAACCTAACCTTAACACAACAGAACATCTCAGGATTCAAAGAAACGATTGCTTTCATGTAGCAAACAGCTTGAGGGTACCCACATAGTGACCGCCGTCTTCCTCGGATCACTATGTAAGTCGAGCCAAGATTGTGATCTTTTCTATAGGTATGTGTTGCCACCTAGTGCTTAATAGTGGAACTGGAGCCACGTTTATAGGATTTACCACTCCAGCCGAACACAGTGGCTCTGTGTTGCTGTTCCTTTGCACAGATTATACTCATCTGACCGTTTTAACTTAAAACCCTTCTCACCTTTATTTGTAGGAATGCTGCTTTAATTTAAGGCATTCACATGGTTTACATATGCTTCTCGTTTATTTTTCTATTCTGCTTCATCCAAAGCATGAGCACAAGCATTATTACATTGTGCGTCACGGTTTTAAAACGGCTTGCTTCTGATATTCTAGGTAGCACTTTAGAAGATATCTTTGTCATTGCCAAACGTAGCTCCATCAGTAAGGGCTGGAGTCATTCTTAACGTACAGAAGACTAGGATTCGCCGTGATCTGCAGGGTAACCAGCATGTGTACGCACCCTGTATGTAAGTTGGTCTCTGGAAGGCTGGGCTAGCTTGGAAACCCACATTAGCTGTATAGGAAGTGATCGGTGTCCTTAAACCACATGTGTACTTTCTCTCTCTTTCTGTGCTGGTCACACTGAAAAATATGAGGTATCTTAACATCTTTGCAAATGTTCTAAAATGAGAGCTGTGCGCTACAAGATAACGCATTAAGCCAAAGTTCGTTTTCTGTGCCAGACCTTTTGTGTTCTTTGGTTTTTGGTGATTGATCAGTGCTCTGCTCTTCACAGGGACATAGCCATTAGCCAATGACAGTACAAGTGCCAAGCAAGCATGATCCATGCTGTACTGTAATTTCCATGTTGCCACTGGCTAATTTCCATCAATGACATCTACTACTGTCAGTAACATACTGATTTAAGCATTTAGTTTTCTTTTCTTTTGTTATTCAAAACTGTCGATTTGTCAAGCTGAAATTTTATTTAAGAGTATTCATGATTAATAAGTCTTTCTGACTTGGTGTGCTTATTGTAAGTCAGATTATTTGTGTCCATTTTTATACCATGGTATGAATTGTAATATTGGATACAGTGAATCTTTGTATGTAAGTGGATTACAGTAAACTGGGCTTTTAATGATTGGCTAGGCCTATATGTTCATCTTAATGTCAGTCTGTGCTCTTTAGCAATGTTTCATGTGGTGAAAGAAATGCTGAGTGGCCATGCAAAGTTCGACTGACTGTATCCACACGGCACACCTCTGTTTGGTCTTTTCTGTCGCAGATCTGACAATCCCAACAGTACTGTTTACCACTACAACGCTGTTACTAATGTTGCTGTGATCGTTTTCCTGTTCCCAATGCCAATAAACGAGGAAATATTAGTAAGCTGGACTCATTTGTGTCATATTGAAACCCAGTACCATAATATATAAATAATCAATGCTTTGGTAAATTATAAGATTGCAATTGGGCAAAAAGTTGAAATAATGATATAAATCATAATCATGACGTAAAGTTGAATTTATTATATGAAAAGTTAAAATAATGACAAATGATGGCAGTGGTCAGAATGATGGCATAAAAAGCCAAAATGATGACAAAAAGATTAATTATGACATTAAAAGTTTACAAAACTTACATAAGTGTTAAGACAAAAGTCGAAGTTATGACATTTCTATTTGTTGTCATAATTTTGAATTTGTCATAATCATTACTTTTTATGTAATGTTATAATTATTATGACTTTTTAATAATTATGACTTATAATAGTGATTTATCAAACTTTTTTGTCCAAGATTTTTCTATCTTATAATTATGACTATTTCATAAAAAGACTGAGCATCATGATCTCGTCATAATTTTAGCTGCGATTTTTAATCTCATAAAGATAACTTTTCATCTTAGTATGCGACTTAATATGTAATAGTTAAATTTAGACTTTTAGATCATAATTTCTCTTATGGCATAGTTAAGATTTTTTATCTTATAATTATGAGCTTTTATCCCATAATTATGACTGTTATGATTTAATTGAAATTGTGAAATGTAAAAAATTATGACTTGAAAATATTGAAATGGGAATCCACAGTATTGATTTAAAACATCTCAACAACTAGCAAATGCTCTAGTTGCTTCATGCATCAGACCGCTAAATCGTTAAGGTGACAGAGCGGACGTGTAATTGGCTCATCCACATGTCAGTCATTGTTTAGCCCCGCCCCCAGCGGGCTCCCGTCGAGTGACGAAAGCAAGAGCGCAGGTGGGGGAACAGATTCAGGTGTGGCTCCGGGAGGCGGGCGGTTTGGCAACAGCTGATCTGTGACTGGAGAGTGCATGGTAGGAAGTGGCGTAGATTCCGGAAGTGATCCGGAAATGGAGGATGAAGTGTTAGACGCGGATGAAGGCGGGAATGGAAATAATGAATGGAGTATAGTTGAAAATCGGAAAAGAAAGAAAAGCTGGAGTAACGCATCTGAAACTGACAGTGAAAATGGAACACATCTGACAAGAAGAAGGAAGGAAGAGTTTAAGGTAGTGATGAAACTTTTTTTTTTTATTATTATTATTATTATTTTTTATTATTTTTTTTTTTATTTTTATTTATTTTTATTTTTTTTTGTCTTTTTATTTTTGGTTGGGGGGGGTTTACTTAATTATTATTATTATTATTATTATTTTTTTTTTTTTTTTTTCTCTTTTCCCTTCTGTATTTCTTTCTTCCAAATTTATGCACACTCCACACTCCAGATCAGTAGGTGGCGGTAATGCACCTTTTTCGCTGGTTTGCCAAACCGCCATAAAACACCAGAAGAAGAAGAAGAAGAAGAAGAAGAGCGCAGGTGCACAGGCTGGGAACTGCATCCAAACCACTCCAAATAAACCTCCTGTTAAGGTAAGCTGAGCTTTCTCTTGTAACATCTTGCCGCTTCACCTTGCATTTATTTCGAAATGACAAAGAAACAGAACGCATAGAAACTTCAGGAAATCAATGGTTTAGATTTAAAAACAGCGTAACCTTCATTTGACATCGCTAACGTAACTGGGATGGATCATAAAAAGCCTCTGCTGTATAATCCATCGCTGCATGCTACAAACTAACATGTCAACTGGCTTTTGACACTCAGCCCATTGTCGCTGGCAGTTATGATGAATACTGTCTGTTTGATCGATGGGATGTTAGTCACTCGCTGACCCGAATAAAAACAGAAATTAGTCCGTGTGTGTTAAGCGGATAGATGCTAACCGGAGCTCAACTGACTTAACCACTATCAGCCATACAGCAGTCTCGCTCTCACAAGCTGCCATTTATTTTAAACGTCTCGATTGGACAATTGGCTCGTAAACGTAGCTGCACTTTTCATACGCAAAGGTTTCTTGCTCTAATCTTGTACGCCAAGCCTGAGCCATACGTTTGAATTAAGCCTCGATGTGTGCCTGGCTGAGCAGGTGGCCTGACAAATAACAGACTAAACAGAGCAGGAGTAAACATTCAGGGATTGGTGTGTCTCTATATGGGAAAGAAAGAACCCCCTTGGTTTTCCATGATAAAATGGGAATATTAGAATAATCTTCCCCTGATATTGTTGGTGTGCTAAGGTCCTGAGCTAAGCAGAGGGTTTAGCCGGCACAAAACCAGGGAAATCCTTGTCTACAGGGACTGCCTAGCTCAATCCATAAGGATACAGGCACAGTGCAGGTTACACCCTCTATTCACTTTGAATTTGTGTTGTAATTCAGCAAACAGGCTGTGAATAAGAAAACATATTTGATTCAACACATTGCCAGGAACCGTTTCTGACACCATTGTCCGTTGAACATTGTGCTGCTGTATAAGAATAATCAGCCTTGTACTGTAGTTATGTCCGTTTTCTTATCTGATTGCTTCTACAGTGAATGTCAAGAGAATACATAACAGACTATAGTCACTCATGACATGATTCAGTTCATTGGAAAAGACTCATTATACTACAGTTATTTGTTACAAAACGTTCCAGTTAATGTGCAGTATGCAGATGAATTTGGCTGTCATTGTTCACTAAAATAACTTGTTTTCATAAATTGTCTGACATTGCAAAACCACCAGTTTTTTTATTTTTACTGGTTTATGCATAGCAGCTGTCTAAAATCTTTTATTTTTTATTAAGTATGTTTGTTAGCCTACATCTGTTCATTTCATTATCCACATGAATAACAAAGGCTTTTTCCCAAATCTCTACTAGTCCTAGCTGAGATACCAGAGATAACCATCCCAAAAGTTGAAGATATTTTAACTTATGCATTTATAAGAAAAAAAAACTGCACAAATAAGAGAAATCTCAAACCGGATTTTTTTTGTACTTTGCTGGGTACCCTCTAAAAAGATTTAGGACTGAGACTTGAACCCTTCCCATTATTAATTGACTGTCAAAATAGAAAATTGAGCCATCTTCATAATTACTTTTTAGGGGCCAAGCACCGAAGGTGCAGTGGCACCTATTGTATTTGTTAGCATCATTTTTCTTCTTCCGCCGCAAGTCTATGGCAGCCCATAGAACGGCTTGCGGGAAAGTTGTGAAATTTGGCACACTGATAGAGGACAGTTTCAACAT